AGTTTCCTCATCTAAAAGACTGTTTAAGTCATTAAGTTACTTTCAGTCTAGAGCACATGTGTCAAACACAAGGCCCGCGGGCCAAATCCATCCAGCCAGGCCTTGCAATGTGGCCCGCACCGCGCTGTCATCACTGCACTCTGCTGCGTTTCCATCACAGTGACAGTTTATGACTGTTCAGTAAACCATTTGGCCCGCGATTTAGGCTGGATTTTAGATTTTGGCCCCTTCTCTGATTGAGTTCGACACCCCTAGTCTAGAGGTACACTTAATTCTAGCATTAGGTATGTTTATGAGTACTTCTGGTTTTAGTATCGTAATATGGAATACAAGCCTGTCTATGGCATACTTTCCCATAGTTACCACTCTCATTATTAGAGGTCTGCTTGGTTATGCACTACACTTGAATTTCCCTCAGAAATAAAGTTTGCCCAGGCTGGTTTGGCTCAGAAGATGGAGTGTAGGCCCATGGACTGAAGGGTCCCAGGTTTGATTCCAGTCAAGGGCACATACCTTGGTTGTGGGTTCCCCGGCCCTGGTCGGGGTATGAGCAGGGGGTAACCAATCAATGTATCTTTCCTGCATCAATGTTTCTATCACTCCCTCTCCCATCCACTCTCTCTAAATATCAATGGAAAATATCCTTGATTGAGAATTAACAACTACAAAATAATAAATTAAAAAAATAAATTTTAATTTATACTTCTTCCTGTTCAAATAACACTCCTCTAAACAATACACATTAGAAAGAATGGGTAGAACACTGTATAATAAAAGGCTAATATGTAAATTGTGCCCTTGGGAGGTCCAATGACTGTGAGTTCGACCACTTGCTATGACATGCACTGACCACCAGGGGGTGATGCGGAACAAAAGAAGGCCTTGGCTGGCAGCCAGCAGCCAGGGGAGGGAAGGCCCCGGCCAGCAACAAAAAGGCCCTGATTGGCCCTTACCGCTGGTCAGATCTAAGGACCCAATCCATATACAAATTTCATGCACTGGGCCTCTAGTTGTGAATAAAAGTAAGTCAAAGAACTGAAAACAATTAAAATAAACAAAGCCACACAACCTTGTGTAAAGGTTAATTGAACACACTGTAGATAAGATGGGGCCAATACAAACCAAGCACCTAAAAGTTAAGGGGAAGGAGGTCCCTCTAAAGTAGGGGTGTCGAACTCAATCAGAGAAGGGGCCAAAATCTAAAATCCAGCCTAAATCGCGGGCCGAATGGTTTACTGAACAGTCATAAACTGTCATTGTGATGGAAACACAGCGGAGTGCAGTGATGACAGCGCGGTGCGGGCCACATTGCAAGGCCTGGCGGGATGGATTTGGCCCGCGGGCCTTGTGTTTGACACATGTGCTCTAAAGCTTCTAGAAGCTAGTGTTACTACATAGAACAGAACAGGCTCAGCCTGGGCAGCTCCCCTCAGATCCCACAGCTTTGGCCAGCAATGCCCTGGAGTGCAGGCCGGCCGCTTTGGACTTATCTGCCCTGTGCTTCATCCTTCCCCTGTAGCAGTCATCAACTCAACTCCTGTTTCCAGTGTCTTGTTCTGATGTACCTTTTTATCTGAACTCCAGCATCCATCTAGTCCAGGCTCTCGGCCTCCTAGGCCTGCCTTCCTAAAATACCCGTCAGTCTTCTCCTCACAGGGAGAGTTAAGGACTTGCCTTGGACTCTGCTGGGATGCTGGTGAAAATGTCTTCCCTGAGTGCCCATAAAAGAGACCAGCACTGTCCAACAGAAATGCAACATGTGCCACATACATAATTGTAATGTTCTGGTAGTTAACTTAAAAACAGAAGAGAAGCAAGTGAAATCATTTTGACAATACATTTTTATTTACTACAATGTATGATAAATATAATTTCAACTAGAGGCCCAGTGCACAAATTCGTGCACCAGTTGGGTCCCTTGGCCTGGCCTGTGGGACCAGCCGAAACCAGCTTCCTAACATCCCCTGAGGAGTCCCAGATTGCAAGAGGGTACAGGCCAAGCCAAGGAACCCCACCAGTACATGATCAGGGACAGGGAGGGACAGGGTAGAGCTCCGGGGCAAGTCTGGCCAGTCTTGCTCTGTCACCATTCACCAGACCCCAGCAGCAAGCTAACCTACTAGTCAGAGCGTCTGCCCCCTGGTGGTCAGTGCCTGTCATAGTGAGAAGTTGAGCAGCCTTAGCATATCATTAGCATAGTACGCTTTGATTGGTTGAATGGATAACTGGACACAGCATATTAGGCTTTTACTATATAGGATAAGTAATTGTTTAAAGACACATCTGTGATACTTTATTTTTTATACTAAGTCTTGAAATTGTGTTGTTTTATGCATGTAGCATATCTCAATGCAGACCAGCACATTCTAGTGCCTAAGAGGCCCCTGTGACCAGTGCCTACCATCCTGGCTGCACCACACTGCCAGAAGGGGTGCAGAAGCCAAGAATCTATATTCTTAGCAAAACACCCCATCTAGAATGTTCTATATGCAATCCATTCTACAACTACTACTGAATTTGCATTGGGGGGGAAAAAACAAAACACCACTTTAATTATGTCAATCCTCAGAACCTAGAAATCCTTGGTACTCCCAGTTTGATCAACTCAGATGGGTGTTCAAATCTCCCTAAAAGTGCCCTCACTTACCCATCCACTTGCTATCCAATTGGAAATGTGTTGGGTTCCTCCATGAAGTTTTCCTGGGCAAACATGCAAATGCTCACTCATTCAACAGATATTTGTGGAGCGCCCACTAAGTGTTATCACAGAACCTCCACCAAAACAGGGAAGATACACAGTCACCACGTGATTGTAACAACACAGCTGTGAGCATGAAAGCAACGCTCTGAAACAGCACCACAAGATGCTTTGAGAACATGGAAGGACGGGACCTTGTAGTGTGAAGGGTCAAAGAAAATCCTTTAATGCACTAACATTGAAGCTAAAAAGGAGTATAAATGAAGTAGGAATTGGAGCAAATGAAATGAAATTCCTAGGCAGAGGACAGCATGTTATGAAAAGCGGTGAGGTGGAAAGTAGGACAGGAGCATGCAGGTAGGAGAGCATCTTAAGGAGGCTGCCTGAGAAGATGGGAGACAGGCCCAAATCTGTGAGCCTCCCATTTTTTTGGTTTGTTTGTTTAGGAGTGCATATTTATACACTTCTCAAAAAGTGCATGCCTTCTAAACCTTACTGATCTCTTCCATCGTCTCGGGGGAGTGGGGATGGGGGGGCGTGGAGCAGTTAGGAGCAACCAGGCCAGCAGGGAGGGCGCAGTAGTTGGAGGCAATCTGGCCAGCAGCAGGGGGAGGTTAGGGGCAATCAGGCCTGCACGCAGATGCAGTGAGGCACTATCAGGCCAGTGGGGGGAGGGGGAGTGAGGAGGCAGTTCGGGGCGACCAGGCAGGTAGGTGTGCAAGTAGGAGCCAGTGGTCCAGGATAGCGAGAGGGATGTCTGACTGCCAGTTATCGGACCTAAACCAGCAGTCAGACATCCCCCAAGGGGGCCCAGATTGGAGAGGGTGCAGGCTGGGCTGAGGGGACACACACACACACACACCCTGTGCATGAATTTTGTGTACCGGGCCTCTAGTCCTGTATAATAAAAGCCCAATATGCTAAGTGTCCAACCCTTGGTTCCACAATTAGACCAATTGCAATGATGCACACTGACCACCAGGGGGCAGACACTCTGACTGGTAGATCAGCTTGCTGCTGGGGTCTGGCCCATTGGAGTGCTCCCCCAGTCCCATGCACTCCAATCATGCACCCATGGGTTCCCTTGGCCTGGCCTGCGGCCTCTGGCAATCCAGGACACCTCAGGGATGTGGGAGAGATGGTTTTGGCCCAGTTCCCGCAGGCCAGGCAAAGCGGCCCCACCAGTGCACAAATCCGTGCCGGGGGCCTCTAGTGTTACCATGAGATGCAGGAAGTCTCCTGGAAGTGCTGCGACTGGAGCATGTAAGACACACTGTACTGGGTCAGTGAGCCTATCGCCCCTTAAGCTATTTTACTCTGGAACTGATCAGTCTGGCATCTGCCATAGTTTCAGACAGAATTCTAAGATGGCCCCACACTGGTGGCCTGGACCCAGAGGGCATGTCCTGTGTAACCCTCCCCTGGACCTGCCCTGGAGTCCGCCCCCACACCGTGCCCTCCGAGGCCAGGGCCAGCAAGGAGACGCCTGAGGGGGCTGACCTCTGACCTCACCAGGTGAGCAGAGGCTCAGAGGACCAGGCCTCCGGAAGGGCTGCCACCTGGGCCAGGCACGAGGCAGCCTCTGACCAACAGAGAGACGGTGAGGGCCTCGATGCTGGAACCACAGCTCCAATTCCGCCACCCACGTGGGATGAGACCCGGGCCTGCAGGACGCCACCCCAGCTGCAGCTCCGGGGGTTCAGCACCACAGCCTGTGCGGGGTTCTCAGACCCCTTTACAAACAGCCAAACAGCCTTCGCAGCCGCTTTCAGGGCAAACTAGGTTCCCAGTGAGCCGTGCAAGGGGAGTCCCTGACCCTGCTCTCACCCCAGAAGTTCCTCCGGGGCTGCATGGCCTCCTGCTGGGGGCCCAGGAGGCCTCTCCATGAGGCTGGGGTGCCCCTTCTCCCCCTCTTCCCCCTGCCAGGCCTGCTTCTCTGCTCCAGGAAAGCAGCCCGAGGCGTGGCCCCGCGGCCGCACGCACCTCCCCGTCCTGGAGGCCACACTGGGGACACCTGGGCGCAGCTGGGGGCCCCCTGAGAACATCTGCCACCGGCTGCGCTGATGGCAGCCTGGCGCCCGGCCTAGGGAGCAGCCTCTGCACGGGCCCGGCCCGGCCCAGGCCCCGCCCCTTCCAGGCCCCGCCCCTTCTCTAGGCCCCGCCCAGCGACCAGGACCCGCGGAGCCTGACTCCTCCCCTCAGCGGACAACCCGGAAGCGCCGGCCGCGTCCTCTGCGCCTGCGTGACGCCCTCCGCGGGGCGGGGCTGGGGCGGGCGGGCCCAGGGCGCCTGCGCAGAGGCGGGCGCGCCGCGTCGTTACATTTGAACGAGTGGCGGGAGCCCGGGGCGGACTCCGCGGGACCTGGAGCGGGGCGCCGGCTGGGCTCGCCATGGCGCGGCAGCTGGCCCGGGAGCAGGGCATCACCCTGCGCGGCAGCGCCGACATCGTGGCCGAGTTCTTCTGTGAGCGGCGGGCGGCGGACGGCGGGCGGCGGACGGCGGGCGGCGGGCGGACGGCGGCCGGCGGCCCGGGCCTGGGCCCGGCGCGGAGGGCGGGCGGCGGGCGGGCGGCGGGGGGCGGGTGGCGGCGGGCTCGCCGGGAGGTGCAGGGCGGCCGGCGCCGCGGCGCCCGCAGGCCTCGGCCCCTCCGGAGCGCCGGGGAGCCCACCCCGCGGCGGGCAGCCGGACGGCCAGGCCTCGGCGCCCGCCCGGCGGCTCGGGCCGGAGGGAGCCGGCGCTGGGGAGGCGCCCCTCCGAGTGGGTCTCCCGGTGGGGCCGGCTGGAAGGAGGGAGGGAGTGAGGCCTCAGGTGCTTCAGAGTCGCATTAAAGAAGGGAGGAGGAGGAGGGGGAGGAAGGGAGGGTGGGGCTGCTGGGGCGCCCCCGCGGTGACATCGCCAACACGTGCTGGGAGTTGGGCTCAGATTGCATGAGGTGAAGTTTGGCCCAGGGAGGCGGCGCCTCTGTCAGGCCTCAGAGGAAGGTAGGGGAGGGTGGGGGCAAAGGGGAGAGGTCAACCAAAGGACTGGTGTGCATGCATGTGAGCCTGACCAGAGGTCATGACAACAGGGGGGTGGGGGCATACGTGGGGAGGGGTTTGGGATGGGAACGGGGGATGAGGACAATTATGTGACACCATAATCAATAAAGAAATTTTAAAAAAGAGAGAAAGAAATACTGGTATCACTCTCCCTTAGAAGCAAGATTTTGAGGATGTTTGAGGCACTTTATACTCACTCTGCTTTCAGCAAGACACACGGACACGTGTGTTTAGACATTGACAGCTGAATGCTATCAGCGAAACCTCAATGTCTAATGTGCAGGTGTTAGGAAGTGGTAGCATTCAGCATCTCCTCTGCTTCCAGCTTTTGGCATCAACAGCATTCTGTATCAGCGCGGCATCTACCCGTCCGAGACCTTCACCCGCGTGCAGAAGTACGGCCTCACCCTGCTGGTCACCACCGACCCCGCGCTCATGCAGTACCTGAGCAACGTGGTGGAGCAGCTGAAAGGTGGGAGCCTTGGGGCAGGATGGGTTTGGCAGGCCTTCCAGAGCCCGTATTCTAGCGACTCTGTGGTCATTTGTCAGCTCTGTACGTAAATCAGGTGTAAAACAAGCTGCCATCTCAAACATAATGACTCTCCCATTCTGCGGAAGCAAATGGCACAATTGATATTAGGAATCCGACAGATGGTGTAACAAAACCGCCTCCGTCATCTCCCTTAAAAAAATGACTTGCCATTTGTGTGGCCAAATGGAACCAGTTGAATTATACATAATTATGGTGGATTTTATTATCTGTGGGGGGAAAAAATCACTATATATTCTTACCAATGTATTTCCTGTACTTGCATGGAGGCTAAAGCCATCATTATTAAGATCAAGGAAATAAAATTGCATTCAATGTGGGAACTAGAACTACAAAGAAATAAAGAAGAAAAAGAACTACTAAGTAATAGAACACATAGTAGAGTGTTCTTATTTTTCACCTGTTTCCATTTGTCTTCTTAAAAGAACCCAGCCTGAGTTTAAACAGTTCTTTAGCTCCAGAAGCTCCTGTGTTGTGGAGCAATCCCTGTTTCCCCTCTGTCTTTCCCTCCTTTGTACTTCCATTCGTTCCTCTGCCCTGTTTCTTTCCACTTGGGATTCTCACCTCCATTTCTTCTGAGTTGTGGGATGTTTCTCCCCATCTGCCCATTGGTGCTCCGGAAAGGGCTACTGTGATCATTTTGTCAATTTTTTAATTCACAATCCTATTTTTTTGTTTGTTTCAAGTATCTTTATTTTTTAAAATCTCATCATATTTTTGTTAACCATTGCCTGTCGCAGGGCTGCACCAGGTGGTTTGGCCGGGAAGCCCGAGGCAGCTGGGATCTTGTCTTCACCTTGGTTTGATGGAAGCGAACCATGGCTAAGCTGCCTCCATGACATTTCATCTCACATTTCTAGATCTTGCCGTGTAACATCTGTCTTTGTTTTAGTTAAAACTGAGGACTTATTCTTTTTAGAGATGAATTGTTCAGTCTGTTTGAAACCACCCGCCCCAGCGTCCACTCTCTTTGTTCTCACTTGTGCTTTGACTTTGTTTCGATTTGGGTCGTTTCCAATTTTAAGAGAAAAAAATTACCAACCCCCAAACCTTCACATTACCATCCCACCTCCTATTCAGAACTAACATGATACAGAGTTGTTGGTCTATGCCAGGGGTCAGCAAGGCCAGGAGGCCAATTCCAGCATATGGCCTGTTTTCTGTACTGTCTGCAAGCCAAGAATATTTTAAATATTTAAAAGAATGTGCAGCAGAGATCTAGGTGACCCACATCCTTAAATATAAATTGTTTTCTGTCTATTTTTTTTTTTTTTTTTAGCAATGGGTTTTTATTATTTTTTAAAAATATTTTTTATTGATTTCAGAGAGCAATGGAGAAGGAGAGAGAGATAGAAACATCAATGATAAGAGAGAATCATTGGCTGCCTCCTGCACACCCCCTACTGGGGATCAAACCAGGGCCTTTCAGTTTGCAGGCTGATGCTTTATCCACTGAACCAAGCCAGCTAGGGCATTTTCTGCCTCTTTAAAAAACATACTGTTGATTTCCGAATATACTCCCAATTTCTATGGTTTCTTCAGGGCTCAGTCTCAGTCCCCTTCTCACTGTAGGCGCTGGAGGACCCTGTGCACAGCAGCTAGCAGCCTGTGTGTCCTCCCTGGCTCCGCCCCCAGGGAACGCGCCCGGAACCTGTGAGGCCGGTCTCACATGCTTCAGAGGCACATACAGAGCTAAGCAGGGTCACCCCATTCAGTTCTCTGGCCTCAGTGACTTCTCTTCCACATCAGTTACAACCAGGAACTAGCGGGGCGCTGCCCTGGCTCACACCTCTTGCTTAGCTTGCAGGCAGTCCAGTTACCCTTCGTAGTGTAACCACCTCTCCCTGGCCTCTCACTGCCCCGTCTCCCAGCTTCCCCTGCGAGCCGTGACCACCTCTGCCTGTGTTACTGCCATGTTCCTCTTTGTCTGCAGTCCACGCCCCGCATCACAGCCAGACATTAGAAATGGGAGTCTGGTGACATGGCGCTGCGTTAGCAGCAGTGCCGCCCGGTTTCTGGAAGCGGCATGTCTTCATTGGCCCACCTGCCAGCCTGCCTGCTCATCCTCCCCACAGTCCTCCCTCTGTCTTCCCTGTGGAGTGGAAGACCCGGTGCTTCTTTCCTGTTCTCGTGCTGGGTGCTGCTGTGGGTTCTTGGGGTCAGCCTCCAGCCTCCCCCACGTGAGCTCAGGGGGAGTCAGTCCGTCTTCCTTCCCGCATTACCCTCATTGCACCGGGCAGCGCACCCTCCAGGCAGTTAGCACAGCGGTGATGGGTACGATGCTCCCATCAGCACCACTTCCCGCGTCCTTGCCATGAACGAGAGGGAGGGTCCCGTGGTCACTGCCCCCTGCACTGTCCCCACCGCACAGCTGAGGGGAGCGGGCCGGGCTGTGGGCACAGGGTCCGTGTGGGCCTGGAGGAGTTCTGACGGCAGGGCGCCCGCTGCCCTTGTTGCAGACTGGCTGTACAAGTGCTCGGTGCAGAAGCTGGTGGTGGTCATCTCCAACATTGAAGACGGGGAGGTCCTGGAGAGGTGGCAGTTTGACATTGAGTGTGACAAGACGGCCAGAGAGGACAGGTGGGTGTGAATTAAGTTATTTCCACCTTCGTGTGCTTTTTCCAAAACTTGTTTTCTCTATGAAAATGAGTCCTGGTTATAGTGAATTAGTTTCTTTAAGGTAAACTTGTTCCTAACGTGTTGCTTTGTGTGAGTGCCCTGGGGAAGAAGCTTGCTGAGGGGAGCAGTCATTGGTTTGTACAGACAGTGTAGTTACCTGCTTCCTGCAGTCTGCTGAGGAGAAGTCCAGACCGCAGTGTCTGTGGGGAGCGTGCAGAGCTGCACATGGTTTGCTAGGTGGGCCACTCAGGGATGTTTGAAGGTATTTTTAACCAAAGGGATAATCCTACACCTGTGGTCTGCAAACTGCGGCTCTTTGGCCCCTTGAGTGTGGCTCTTCAACAAAATACCATGGTCTGGGCAAGCCTTTGTTGAAGAAGTGGAGCTAGAAGAAGTTTAAGATTAAAAAATTTGGCTCTCAAAAGAAATTTCAATCCGTCGAACTGTTGGTATCTGGCTCTGTGGATGAAAGAGTCTGCTGACCAGTGAATGACTCTCCAGGTTCCGTGCAGCTCTGGTCCTCTCTGTACTGCTCTAAGTGGAAGTGCCGCCGTGAGCTGCTGGCGTCCAGCACTGTCTGGGCGGCTTAGCTGTGAGCTCAGCACGTTTCTCAGGGAAGTGTGTTTGCTCCCGAAGCCTTCGGTCTGTTAGGGAACGTTTGGCCGTAAGAACTATGGGGGGCGGTAGGAAAGTAGGCATCCGGCATCACTAGAAATGCCAGGTGGTTATACCTAGCCCGTGTTTCCATTGCCACGGGCTGAGGTTTCCTAACGGGAACACCTGACAGGTGTGCTACGCCTCTGGTACTAGTAGATGAGTGGGAGGATAAATGAAATAACACATGGTGCCCCTAGGACAGGTCCTCAGGACAGACTCATTTAAAGGAAAATGAACTTCTTGAAGTTGACTTAATTGACTTGGAAGCATTTCACCAGGTAAATCATCCTATCAATGTTTGAAATAGTGTTACAACTGGAAAATGAGTGCGTTGGTTTGGTTTCCGTGACAGTGCGCCCAGAGAGAAGTCTCAGAAAGCCATCCAGGACGAGATCCGCTCGGTGATCAGACAGATCACGGCCACCGTGACCTTCCTGCCGCTGCTGGAAGCTTCCTGTAAGTAATTACAGCTCCTCGCGGGCTGAAGACTGAGCTGTGGCTTTAAGAATTGTCCCTTCATTAAATGTTCTCTTAGCTGTCCATACGTGCTGTGAATGGGGAAGGAAGCATTCTAAAACAAGAGTCGTGTGATGCATTCCAGAAAACGTGGAGATGCTACAGGAGAGGGCTGAAAGCATTCAGCAGTCTGGTGTCACTTTTGTCACCATTCTCGCTTTCTGCACATTCCGTGTACGTAATTAGGACCACAGCTGTGATGTCTGCTCTCCTGGGCGACTCCTTCACGCACGCACAGCTCCCGGCTCCTGCAGCACTGAGCAGCATGCGCGTCCCGCAGTCCACACGCCATTTCATGTGATGAGACACTTGGCAAATATTTATAATGGTTTTCTTGTTATAAAAACAAAACTTGAATTTTTCATGAGATAATGTATAAGGAATGCAGTGTTTTCTGCACTGAAATAAATTTCCATTGAGGAAGAGCGATAACCTGGTGGGTGATGAGAGACTAGGCCACACTGTCCTCTCACTGCCCATCACTCAGATGGACACAGGCAGGGCAGGGTTACGATGCACCTCAATGATCTTATCCCCAATGTAGGTTCCTTTGACCTGCTGATCTACACAGACAAAGACTTGGTTGTCCCTGAAAAGTGGGAAGAGTCCGGACCCCAGTTCATTGCCAATTCCGAGCAGGTCCGCCTGCGTTCCTTCACGACGACCATCCACAAAGTGAACAGCATGGTGGCCTACAAGATTCCTGTCAACGACTGAGGGAGCCGGTAATGGATCCCACACGTGCTCCCGAGACCGCATCAGCTGTAGTTCTTGTTCTGTTTCATTGATTACTTTGAGGAGGGGCTGTGCGTATTCGTACTGTTCCATCTGTGGGTGCCGGTTTGGCTTTCTGTGGGGTTGACATGATTCCCATAGGGCTGGCACTGTTCCAAGGGAACCAGCAGATCCCATCAGCACTGGAACGCCAGCTCCTCTGAAGGTGGAAACTGGAGATGAGAAACCTTTGCTATTGCCTTCCTAAATCAGAACTTCCGGTCAAGTAGCCTGACTCCAAGTCTAGGTGAACATGCAAGAGAAGTCTGAATAGTCACAATCTGTGTTTAGTTCAAAGTAACTGATCAGCCCCTGTAACAGTCTTCTTAGCAAGTCCTTCTGCCATTCATTTCTTTGTTTAGTTTCCATATTGAAAAACCCCCAATTTCCTGACTTTAATGTATATAATTGACACTTATAAATCTGTCGCCGTTTCTCCTGTTTCAATTCTGCTGATACAGAACTCTTAATGTCTTTGTGTGTTTTAGAAAATCAAGCTTTAAATGACGATGATAAATAAAGTTACATGTGCATGTTTTTAATTTGTCCTAAAATACCTTTCAGGGGTGTGGTGTTACTCCAGTTACCTAGCGATTGAGGTGGACTCGGTGCAGTAGTTCCCTGTCGGGTGTGGCTTTCCATAGTTTCAGGTGCCCACAGCCAACCACAGTCTGGAAATACTCAGTGGACGATTCCCCAGAGGAGCAGCCCATCTCGCACTGAGGTTTAGATGTGTTTAGTGTGACAGACTTTGTGCTGTCTAGCTCCGCCCCCCTGGGGACATGAGTCACGGCTTTGTCCAGTGTTTCCGCACCAGTTCTCCCAGCCCGCAGGCACCTGGTAGCTCTGTTACCAGATGGACTGTGGAGGGACAGTGCGGTGCTCAGGGCACCCGCCTTTCCTTCATGGCCCCAAGCACAGGGTAGAGAGGCTGCCAACTCAGAAATGCCCGAGAAACCATCGAGTGCCTCCTCGAGGGCAAAGGTAGTAGGTGTAGGCAAAACCAGTGTGCATAGGCTGAGGTCCTCCCCAGCTCCAGGAGTCCACTGGTGATCTTGGAACGATCCTGTTATCCCACGGATAAGGGCTGGCGACCCTATGGCAGGGCTTTCTTGTGTCAGCTAGGGTGGTGTAGGCCTCAGGATGCAAAGATGGAGTCTTAAAGATGAGGTTCCAGCCCTAACCGGTGTGGCTCAATGGGTAGAGCATCAGCCTGCAGACTGAAGGGTCCCAGGTTCGATTCCAGTCAAGGGCATGTACCTTGGTTGAGGGCACATCCACAGTAGAGGGTGTACAGGAGGCAGCTGATGAATGATTCTCTCTCATCGATGTTTCTAGCTCATTCTCCCTATCTGTGAAAAATCAATAAAATATATTTTTTTAAAAAAGAAAAAGACGAGGTTCCACAAGAGGGCGATGCCTAGGCCTGGCCTTGGATGTGGCTGGCTGGAGGAATGAGAACACCAGATGAGCTCACAGGTCTGACAGCCCCTGAAAGACCCTCTGCCTGTGCAACCAGTCCCTCTGCCCAGGCCGCCAGTGAGATGGAGAGGTCAGGCCTCCGGGGGCGTTTCCACGGAGACGCGCCCTCTAGACCAGCCGGCTTTTGCTGAGTAGAAGGTCGAACTTCCCTGCGAGTCCGCAGGGGACTGGGCCTGTCTCCTTCCCATGCGTGTGGACACTCACACGTCTCATCTCCCGCTGTGGAGTGGTGGCTGTTGAACTCTGACACTTCCCACTGAGGAGTGGTAGCTGTCCGAGCTCTGACCCTCCCTGCACTCCAGACTGGAGCCCTGCTCAGGGCGAGCCATTTCATTGGGCAGAAAGTGCGCTCCCAGGGAGACGGACCGGACAGACAAATCTGACTGACGGGATCTCAGATCTGGGCTGTGCACCATCTGTGAAGGGCCAGGTGACAGCTGAGGCTGTGCAGGCACGTGGGCTTATACCCGCTCCAGCCGGCCCTGGCAGTGCCTCAGACACGGGTTGATGAGCACTGAGCCACACTGGTCAGGGCTGGAACCTCATCTTTAAGACTCACTCTGCATCCTGAGCCCTAGTTGGCACAAGAAAGTCCTTGCCATAGGGTCGCCAGCCCTTATCCGTGGGATAATACCATCATTACAAGATCACCAGTGGACTCCTGGAGCTGGGGAGGACCTCAGCCTATGCACACTGGTTTTGCCTACACCTACTACCTTTGCCCTTGAGGAGGCACTCGATGGTTTCTCGGGCATTTCTGAGTTGGCAGCCTCTCTACCCTGTGCTTGGGGCCATGAAGGAAAGGCGGGTGCCCTGAGCACCGCACTGTCCCTCCACAGTCCATCTGGTAACAGCTACCAGGTGCCTGCGGGCTGCGAGCAGTGACGCGCACACAGGGCTGGCCTGGCGTGGGCTGTGGCCTCGGACCTGTAACCCATCCCATTGGCTCTTCAGGTCCCAAGTATCCCCCCACCTGCTCAGAGTGTGTGATTCCTGATGTGTAAGGCTCACTTCACACATCCCCCGTTGTCTCCATCCATGTCTCAAGTTGCGGTCCTCCCTGACACATTGCTGGCCGTTCAAGGACTCCCATCTGCAGACCTCAGGGAGGTTCCTGGGGCCACGGCGCATGGGGAGACGAACCAGCAGGAAGGCTCTGTGCCTCCACTTTCAGTCACTAAACACGGGGGCCGAGCCAGCATTATATTAGGATGTGTTCGCGTTTCTCAGGTTCATTACCCTCCTGTATACTTTAGAATACAGACCCAACAGTTATTAGCTTCATAATGCCGGTGTCCACCTAGACATTTAATTTTTTTTTACTTTCTCTTTATTTTATTGTGTAGTCTGTTAAAATGTATCTTAATTTATTACCTGTATTTTCCGGTGTATAAGATGACCCCCTAATTTTACCGTTAAAGCATAGGTTTAGGCCTATATTCGCTGTATAAGACTACCCCCCACTTCAAAGAAAAGACTTACTTTGCCATCAAGATCTGCAGGTAATTTTTGTGCAATTTTGGTCTTTTGCCCCTGATTTTCGGTTGACTTTTTTTGTTTCAAAAGTCGTCTTATACGCCAGAAAATACGGTATACACTCAAGATCAGAATAGCTGTATAATTCTACACTGTAACACCAGTATTCTCCACCAGATGTCACTAGTGTCATATTCATCTTAGGATGAATTTCTTTTGATGCTAAAGACTATAATCAGTTTTTCTTAATAGAAATTAACATTGAGATTTCCGGCTACAAAAACACAAACACGTCAGGGGGAAGTGCAGCATCTGTTCTTTCACATGAATCATTTCACTCAATGCTCATGCTTTGTGTGTCCAGAGCAAACTGGCTTTTCTTTACTGACCTTTGGGGAACCTGGCTGCTTACGCTTTCCTCAGGGGCTGAGCAGCGCGGGAAGAACAGAAGGAGGAGACTTGCTCCTGGACCTTCCCTGCGTTGTTTAAGGATAAGTCAGGGGTGAGCTTGTGAGCAGCTGTGACATGCCGTTTTCCAACGAATCGGAAGAATTGTTCGTTAAGTAATCTTGGTTATTCTCTGGGGAATTAATGTTCTGGCTTAATGTGTAAACAGTTTATATTTCTTTTTTTATTAAATGTACGAAATTACATTTCAAGTTATTTTGTTCGAGGTAACCATGATACGAGCTTGTGTTGGAAAACCTGTGGAACAGAACTTGTCTGCTGAACTTCAAATTCTATTAGTTCTCCGATCTAAAAACATCTTTCGAGATCTTTCCGTTCTTCGTGAACATGGCTCCGCAGGCCAGCACTATTAGCCGATGCTTATTTTTAAAAATCCTATTGGGAACGCTGCTTCATCTCCATTAGAGCTGACAGGCCTGCTCCGCTATGGCAAAAACACGGTAACCCTGGCAACAAAACTATTAGGACGGCCTGGGGAGAGAGTGTCAGCTGACCTCGGACAGCTTACGTGACCGTTCCGCCTATTTCTGTCCTCGTGCCATTTGATCTATTTTTATCTGGAGAAACATCATATTTCCATTTATTTGTATCAAGTCCATTCCCGTCCACATTTATCTGCACCATTTAGGAAAGCTCATTAGCACAGAGGAACGTCGTCAGATCACAATCTTTATTGTCTTGGAGTCTTATCTGCTGGCGAGGGCTCCAAGCCGCAGGGCCTCCCAGACTCCATTTCCCCGCCAGGAAAGAGCTCAGCCTCTTCCACAGCCATCCCGAGAGGGACACAGCCAGGTCCTCGCTGAGCGGCAGCTCCCCGACCAAAGGAGGCGGGGTCCGTGGCTTTGAGAGGCCTGATGTGTGGCATCCAAACCACTTGCCGTCAGAGCCACCGTTCTGGGAGCCGTGTGCAGCCGAGCAGCCAGCAGGGCTCCGTGGGAGCCGCTCAGAGCGCCGGGGCCATGAGCATCTCCTGTGGGTGCCTCACCCCGGCCCCCCAGCCTGCCTCCTCCAGCCAGGGCGCTGGGCTGGTGGGAAGAGGAAGACGGACCACAGCCTGTGCGCTTGTCTGGGGAGAGCCAGGCGGAGAGAGGGAGGCAGTCTGAGTCCCAGTGAGGAGTCCCCTGGAGGAAGGAGCAGCCCAGAACCTCAGTCCAGGCCGGGGGGGAGGGAAGCGGAGGGAAAGAGAGCCCTCCATCCAAACGGAGGGCTCAGAGGCCGGCTGAGTGCCAGAGGACAGCCAGGAGGAGGGGATGTTTGCGGGAGAAACAGTCCTTCCTAGAATATCTTCAGCTCGATTTGGCCGTGGAGGGGGTCAGGCCTCCAGTCAGTGCCTGACACGCTGGCCTCCGTCATCAGAGCAGCCCCAGAGCTATCATCCCTGATTCACACATGGAGACGCTGAGGCTTGGGGAGGGGAGGGAATCCGCCCCATTCAAACCCCAGAGCGCATGCCCAGCCCGGCTCCCAGCCAGCCGTCTCCCCACTGTCCCCCAGAGCCTCTGAGACCAGGGCGCCAGGGAGGGCCCCGTGGTGTCATGTGAGTTGACCTGGATAGCATGTGGTCAGGGAGCTTCAGACATTTCTATGTGATTATGTAATGTAGTTAGGTCATTATGTGATGTATTTCTCTGGTTATTTGGTGTATTTATGTAATGTAATTATGTATGTATTTTAATCTGTATTCAGTAAAAGATAATGTTATCACGAGCAAAAAAATTTAAAGTACACAGTGGACATTTAAAGAAAAATATATCACTAGGAGTATGGGAGATCTGCAAATACAGAAAAATGGTGAAGATGGCCCACAAAACGGGTGGGGAACGTCTGGCCCAAGGGCCCTGTGAGGCCCAGGAAGTCATTTGGTGTGGCCCTGCCAAGGCATTAGGGGTGGGTAAACTACGGGTTTGACCACGTAAAGCAGGCTAATGTGTGTGTGAGTGTGTTTCATTATTTTATTATTTTTGCAGGCTAATTTTTAAGTGGATCTTTCTTTATGGCCCTCAAATGATGTTACAAATATCCAAATGGCAGAAACCGGTTTGGCTCAGTGGATAGAGTGTCGGCCTGCGGACTGAAAGTTCC